CACCAAAAATTGGAAGTTTTGACCTAAAAATGGGAATTTTAACCAAAAATTGGGATTTTTGACCCCAAAAATGGGAATTTGATCCAAAATTTGGGAATTTGATCCAAAATTTGGGAATTTTCCACCCAAAAATGGGAAGTTGGCCACAATTTTGGAATTTTCCCCAAAATTCAGGGACTTTGATGCCAAAAAAGGGAATTTGGACCAAAAAATTTGATTTTTCACCAAAAAGGGATTTTTCCACCCAAAAAAAAGGGAATTTTGAGCAAGATTTGGGAATTTTTTTGTGCTGAAGTTTTGTGGAATTTTTTCCTGAATTTTGGCGGGAAATTTTTGCAGCTTTCTGGTGGAATTTTTGTGGATTTTGGGTGGAATTTTCATGGAATTTTTTCTGAATTTCCACCAGAATTTTCGTGAGATTTTCAGGGAATTTTTGCGGAATTTTTGTGGAATTTCCACCAACTTTTTGCAGAATTTCCCCAGCAATTTTTGTCACATTTTGGGCAAATTTTGCGAATTTTTGGGTGGATTTTTCGCTGAATTTTGGTGGAATTTTGGAGGAATTTTAGAGGAATTTTTGCTGAATTTCCACCGGAATTTTCATGAGATTTTAATGGAATTTTAGTGGGATTTTTTGCTAAATTTTGGCTGGAATTTTTGCAGACTTTTGATGGGATTTTCATGGAATTTTTTGTGGATTTTTGGTGGGATTTCCGTGGATTTTTAGTGGAATTTTTGCTAAATTTTGGCAGAATTTTCGTGGAATTTTGGAGGGATTTTCTTGGAATTTTAGCGGAATTTTCTGCCAAAATTTGCCTGGAATTTTCGCAGATTTTTGGTGGGATTTTTGCAGGGATTTTCATGGAATTTTCCAGGGGAATTTTTGTGACATTTTCATGGAATTTTCGTGGATTTTTGGTGGGATTTTTGGAGGAATTTTAATGGAATTTTTGATGAACATTCCAAGGGAATTTTCGTGAGATTTTCATGGAATTTTTTGCAGAATTTTCACTTATTTTTGTTGGGATTTTTTGAGGGATTTTCATGGAATTTTCGATGAACATTCCAACTGAATTTTGGTGAGATTCTCATGGAATATTTCACGGAATTTTCCTGGAATTCCCACCAAATTTTCGCAGTATTCCCCCGGCAATTTTTGCCGCATTCTGGGCAAATTCCTCCATATTTTGACGGAATTTCCGCCAGATTTCGGCCAAAATTTCGCGGTTTTGGACGGAATTTTCACGTTTTTTGATGGAATTTTCGCGTTTCTTCACGGAATTTTCCCAATTTTTAACGGAATTTGGGATTTTTTCGCCCCGCAGCCGCCGCCCGCGCGCTGGACCTGTTCCCGCTGTCGCCGTGCGGCGCCGCCGCCTCGCCCACCTCCGTGGGCTGCCAAAATTCCATCCAATTCCCGCCAAATTTCCACGGAATTTTGGTGAAATTTTCATGGAATTTTCGTGGATTTTTGGTGGAATTTTTGCTAAATTTTGGCTGGAGTTTTCACGGATTTTTTGATGGAATTTTCGTGGAATTTTAGCGGAATTTTCGCAAAAATTTGACTGGCATTTTTGCAGATTTTTGGTGGGATTTTTGCAGGGATTTTCATGGAATTTTCCAGGGGAATTTTCGTGACATTTTCATGGAATTTTCGTGGATTTTTGGTGGGATTTTTCGAGGGATTTTAATGGAATTTTCGGTGAACATTCCAAGGGAATTTTTATGAGATTTTCATTGAATTTTTGCAGAATTTTTGTGGATTTTTGCTGGGATTTTTCGAGGGATTTTCATTGAAATTTTCGATGAATATTCCACCGGAATTTTCGTGAGATTTTCATGGAACTTTCGCGGAATTTTCCTGGAATTCCCACCAAATTTTCGCAGAATTCCCCCGGCAATTTTTGCCGCATTCTGGGCAAATTCCTCCATAATTTGACGGAATTTCCGCCAAATTTCGGCCAAAATTTCGCATTTTTGGACGGAATTTTCACGTTTTTTGATGGAATTTTCGCGTTTTTGCACGGAATTTTCCCAATTTTTAACGGAATTTCGGGATTTTTTCGCCCCGCAGCCGCCGTCCGCGCGCCGGACCTGTTCCCGCTGTCGCCGTGCGGCGCCGCCGCCTCGCCCGCCTCCGTGGGCTGCGTGGCCGTCGGATTCTTCCCGCCGCCGCTGGAGCTGGCCTGGAGCGACGCCGGCAACGGGAGCGCCGCCGGCGCCGCCTTCCCGGCCGTGCCGCGCTCCGGAACCTTCCTGGCGGCGTCGCGCCTGGGGCTGGAGCCGGAGGACGGAAAATCCCGGGCGCCGTTCCGCTGCCGCGCCCGCCACGGCCGCAGCAACCGCAGCGTCCAGGTTGCCAAGCCAGGTGAGGGGAAACGGCCCCAAAATGGCCCCAAAATGGCCCCAAAAATACACCAAATAACCGCAAAAATGTTCTTAGAAACGGCCCAAAAGTGGCCCCAAAATGGCCCCAAAATGGCCCCAAAAATACACCAAATAACCGCAAAAATGTTCTTAGAAATGGCCCAAAAGTGGCCCCAAAATGGCCCCAAAATGGCCCCAAAAATACACCAAATAACCGCAAAAATGTTCTTAGAAACGGCCCAAAAATGGCCCCAAAAATGGGCCAAATATGATAAAAAATGGTCCCAAAAAATGGCCCAAAAATGGCCCCAAATATGATAAAATATGGTTCAAATAATGGCCTGAATGTCACCAAAAAATGGCCCAAAAATGGCCCAAATATGACAAAATAATGGTCCCAAAAAATGGCCCGAATAGCCCCAAAAATGGCCCAAAAATGGTCCCAAAAATGGCCCGAATATGACAAAAAATGGTCCCAAAAAATGGCCCAAATAGCCCAAAAATTGGACCCAAAAATGTCTTGAATATCCCCAAAAATGGCCCTAAAATGCCCCAAAAAATATTCCAAATAACATCCCAAATATGGCAAAAAATGTCCCAAAAAATGTCCTGAATATCCAAGTAATATCCAAAAACCCAATTTTTCCCCCCAAATTTTCCCATTTCCCCCCAAATTTTCCCATTTTCTCCCC